TGCACACGTCCACTCTCTAAAGTGCTGCAATCTTGCAATCTCGTACTGTGACGTGCAATGCAATCTTGAGTGGCCTGAGTGGCATGGTGCGATGCAATCTTGAGTGGCCTGGGTGGCATGGTGCGATGCAATCTTGAGTGGCCTGGGTGGCATGGTGCGATGCAATCTTGAGTGGCCTGGGTGGCATGGTGCGATGCAATCTTGAGTGGCCTGGGTGGCATGGTGCGATGCAATCTTGAGTGGCCTGGGTGGCATGGTGCGATGCAATCTTGAGTGGCCTGGGTGGCATGGTGCGATGCAATCTTGAGTGGCCTGGGTGGCATGGTGCGATGCAATCTTGAGTGGCCTGGGTGGCATGGTGCGATGCAATCTTGAGTGGCCTGGGTGGCATGGTGCGATGCAATCTTGAGTGGCCTGGGTGGCATGGTGCGATGCAATCTTGAGTGGCCTGGGTGGCATGGTGCGATGCAATCTTGAGTGGCCTGGGTGGCATGGTGCGATGCAATCTTGAGTGGCATGGTGCGATGCAATCTTGAGTGGCCTGGGTGGCATGGTGTGATGAAATCATGCAATCTCCCCCACCCCCCGCTCCCCTTCCCTCTCCCTCCCTCCCTCCCTCCCTCCCTCCCTCCCTCCCTCCCTCCCTCCCTCCCTCCCTCCCCCCCTCCCTCCCCTCTCGCGCCCCGTCCCCGTCCTCGGATGCTGTGGTGGCAGGGGGACGCGGCAGAGCGAGCGGTGGAGCTGCTTGTAGGGATAATCGTTCAGGCCAGGAGGAATGGCGAAGGGGAGGTAGAAACTACCCTTATTTGCACCTAGCTGACACTCTCCCCTTCCTCTCCCCCTCCCTCCCTCTCTCCCTTCTTCACTTCCTACTCCCACCCTCCTCCCTGCCCCCATCCCGTCCCCGTGCTCTCCTGCTGTGATGGCAGGGGGACGTGGCAGAGCGAGTGGTGGAGCTGCTGGGGGGGATGGGCGTTCAGGCTAAGAGGAGTGGGGGGAAGGGGAAGTAGACTCTATTACAGGTATATTCAGCGCAGCTGCAGAGAAAGACTAGGTATGGTCTATCTCTTGCCTCAAACTCGGTGCACAGCTCAGCGCTTCTGGTATGACTGATAAATGAGAGTGGGCAAAATGAGGAGTTATGAGTAATTACAGTGTGCTCACAGGATACAGTGCTAGAACCTCGACTACGGTAATTCTGACCGAGATGTTTTCTTATCCCTTTTCAACCTAAGCTTCACATGACCTGATCCCAAGTTGACTGCCAGAGCTCGAATCTCGCTGGCGATGAAATGAATTCTCTGACGGAATGGATGATCCACAACGTTATCTTCCAAAGAGTTAGTCCCTGACGGGCATGCCAGGCTGACGCGGAATGGAGACCAATATGAGCCATCACATTTTGCTTTTTACCCTGCCAATCGATATCTTTTTCGCTCCCCACAAACCTTCCACCCCCCAGCTCACCCTTTTAGCCTCCTCTTTTGAGAAGAAATCTTTCTGCAGTGTGCCGTCCCGCCCTCTCCATAGCCTCTTCCCCTTTCCATATTCTCCTTGTCTCATATTCTCCGCTTCTCATATTCTTCCCCAAACACTCCCTTTCACTCTCCTCTGCTTAGCACCCGTCTCCCTCACCCCCGACATCTTCATTCTCCTCTCCTTTGCTCAATTCCCCACTCCCCCCTCTCCCCCCCACCCCCCCATTTGCCTCCCAACTGAGTTTGCCACCCACACTGAGTTTGCCACCCACACTGAGTTTGCCACCCAAACTGAGTTTGCCACCCACACTGAGTTTGCCACCCACACTGAGTTTGCCACCCACACTGAGTTTGCCACCCAAACTGAGTTTGCCACCCAAACTGAGTTTGCCACCCACACTGAGTTTGCCACCCACACTGAGTTTGCCACCCACACTGAGTTTGCCACCCAAACTGAATTTGCCACCCACACTGAGTTTGCCACCCAAACTGAGTTTGCCACCCAAACTGAGTTTGCCACCCACACTGAGCTTGCGACCACCCTCACTTAGAATCCCCTTCCACACTGGAGTGGAGTAAGATTGGGACCCTATTTCTGCCAGTGCATGCATCCATGCACTGCCTGCATGCCTGCGCTGCCTGCACAGGCATCCCGTGAGCCACCCAACATCGCATTGTGCATGGTGCTTGCTGCGTGATGCATTGCACATGTATCATGGCGCATGGCATGGTGCATGTTGCATGGCTCATGGCTTGTGATGCAGGCGCATGATGCATGTGTTATGGCTCATGGCTTGGTTCATAATGTGATGATGTATGTGTGCTGGTGCATGTGTGATGGTGCATGTGTGATGGTGCATGTGTGATGGTGCATGTGTGATGGTGCATGTGCGATGGTGGATGTGTGATGGTGCTTGTGTGATGGTGCATGTGTGATGGTGCATATGTGATGGTGGATGTGTCATGGTGCATGTGTGATTGTGCATGTGTGATGGTGCATGTGTCATGGCGCATGGCTCTTCCACAATCCATGCTATGAAGCACGTATGCCTTCCCCCTGACTCGCATTCACTGGCATTTAACCATGTAAATCTACAGTAACCCACATTTTCCTACATCAACCCACATTAACCCACATTCACCAACGTTAACCCACATCAACCCACATCAACCCACATCAACCCGCATCAACCCACATAAACCCACATCAACCCACAATACCCGCAGTAATCACCGGCCCTCCACCACAAGAAACTGTTTCTCCTCTCTGTGCTGCCATGACCACCAGTGTGCAGAGAGCAGCAGTTCACACACACACAGACCATTCCCAACTGATCACTCATGGGTTGCATGCTGTGCGTGGCAAAGGGAAATCTGGGAGGGCCTGCTTCTCAGAAGCATTGCACCTCGTCCTTCACGTTGCGCGACCCCTGAGTTTCGTACAATGTCTTACCATCTCCCCCCTGTCCCTCCCTTCATCCCTGCCCCTTTCCCGTCCCCGTGCTCTCGAAATGCGCGATGGGGCAGGGGGGCGTGGCAGAGCGAGTGATTGAGCTGCTGGGGGGCATAGGCGTTCAGGCGAAGAGGAGTGGAGGGGAGAAGAAGTAGCCACTCTGCTAGGCTCCTCATATTAAAGTGAAGAGGAGTAGAGGGATGAGAAAGTAGATACTGTTGTAGGCTCCTGTTGCACATTGAAGCACAGAGGAGTGGTGAGTTGATGGGGGGCATGAGTGTTCAGGCCAAGCAGAGTGGGGGGGAGGGGAAGCAGCTGAGTGGGGTAGGGGAAAAATGAACGCAGACGAGGAGTTATTTTTTATTTTGCTAGCAGTTTTTCATGCTTCCCCATCGAGGTTCTACAGGTTTATGCGTAAGTAGAACTTTCAGGGTAGTTTGTTCATATATTGGTCTGCTTCTGACAGTGTACACTGTCAAACGCAGACCTGAATTCACACTACCTCCATCTTACAAACGAACCCACGAAAATGCCCAAACCGCGATGTGTGGAAAAGAACGCATTTGCGAATTGCGCTTCGCGATCACAAATTGGTCGCACGGAAGCCTGGTTGAGTGCATTGAGCAGGACTAGGGAAGGAGAGGCGACTACAAAATTGCGAGTTCAGCGAGCTGCAAGCAGTCACCAGCATTGCCCAAAGAACCATAAGGGCGCTTCACCTGAGGGGCGGAAGGCCAAAATCCGAACCGACGTATCAGTTTGACTGTACGAACAGTATCCCAAATGAGTTCGAACACAAATACGTACAATGAGCGAATGTGACACAGGCCATCACAGGTGACGCCATCGCTATTCGCACACGCGGTCTGTTCGAACACAGCGACGTCGCCCACAAAAGAGCGACGTCGCCAAACATTGGGTCCCTCGCTTGTGTGTTTCCTCGCTTGGGTCGCAAACGTTCATGGACGACCCGGAAGACTGTGGACCAATCATATCAGTCGTTTGTGCGGAATTGTGTGTCACCTATCCCAACCTGTTCGAACAAACGTGTTCGAACGTGCGGGATGATGAAAATCGTGCTTGAGGTGACAGCTCTGTTCAAATTGGCGAAATTGTGCTTCGCGACGTCACGATCACCACTACGAACATAGGCGAAGCGAGTAACAATTCGCCTGTTCGAACGAGTGTGTTGTTCGAACCGACAGGTGAAGCGCCCTAACCAAGCATTTCTCCTCCCTGTCCACTGTTTCCCTCCCCCCCTCAACCTTCCTGTTTCCATAGCTCCTCTTTCGTGTGTTTGCCCGTCACGCCAGTTTCTATTCTCCAGCCTTGCTGCAAGTCATCCGTGTTTGTAAATAGTTAGCGTGCAGTGCATGTCATCGAATCACGAATTAGCTGTATTTCGACTCTAGAGCCACTTCCGCATCTATGCCAACACCCACCCTCGAGGGTGTAACCAGGTAAGGATGGGCGGACTGCAGCCTTTCGAGGCTCGGACGCGGCGTTCCATCACCCGCGCCTTACGAGACGCCTCCAAGGTTCGCGACCTATCAAAACAGGTTTTCCAGGAGCATTGACTCATTGACCTGTCTCGCGTTACGCCCAGGTAAGCCTTGCGTTGCAAACTTTAGTAAAGTTGCAGTTTATTTTTAACGATCACTTGCATCCTAGTAGTTACGGTGTTCAATTTCACATCCAAAGCCGAATGCGCAACTCCAAGCTGGCAACTTGAAACTGTATACACACCGTGTGACACGCATGGTGCAGTTAAAAAAGCCCTTATTTCAAACCATCCACGCTCTTCCTGCATAGTCAGCATCGTATTAACAACCGTCTCATTGCAGGCACCACCGGCGAACATTAACAACCTCTCAACCATTAACAACCTCTCAACGCAGCTCTATCATAGCTGGCCAGGTCGTGTGTGGTCTGGTGTTGTCCTAGATACTAGCTGGCCAGCGTCGGGTAAGTAACAACCACTATCCCAGTAACCATCCAGCCCAGTAACGACCTAGCCTGGTCACCTAGTTGGTAACCACCTAGTAGTAGCTGGTAGCATGGTAGCGCTACTAAGCGGCCCAGGTGGTGCATTTGCGGGGCTTGAGGCTGTCGTCGTCGCCCTTGCTCAGAGTCTTGGGCAGGATGACGTCATTCACGCCGTGCACCTGCACCACTCGCAGCGATATGACGTCAGCAGCCACCACGGAAGCTTCGTCCGCACCGTCCGCAGCCTTGAGCTGAACCGGCTTGACCCCCGCAGATGAGACCTTCACCAGCTGCGCCTTGCACGAATCAGCCGCGGCCATGTACTGTAGGGAGGGGAAGAAGCAAGTTTAGGTGGTTTGAGAGATTTTGGGTACGAGTGTTCGGTGGGAGTATGATTAGGGTAGGATGGTCGAGATGGTGGGGGTAGGGTATTACAAGTAGATCAGACGACGGGATCGAGTAAAAGCATCGGACTGAGTTTCGGGCAAAAGAAAAAAGATTTTCCCAGCCGTGACGACAGTATACACCGCAAAATCGTTGACACGCGTTGCTCCGCCGTGGCCTCTGCTCACCTGCTGGCCCTCCTTCTGCCCGGCTAGAGTGGCGCCGTTGACCTTGCCCTTGACGACGTGCAGCAGCAGCACCTCGCGAAGCACCTTCCTTTCGCGGAGCTCCGATTTGATGTCGCTCGAAAGGCTCGCGAACGCGGCGTCGGTGGGAGCGAAGACGGTCGCCTCGTAGCAGTGGAACAGGTCCGTCAGGTCCTCGTCCAGCCCTGACGGATAACGGCAGAAAAAAACTTGAAGCGGACGTGAGGCTGGAAAATCATCTAACGAAATTAAGGAATGAATGAGGGCGCGTAAAATCACAATCAAGAACATTCAATGTGATTGTCATGCTGCGGAGCGGAATCTGACCTGTGGTTTTCAGCCCGTCGACAAAGGTGGTGTAGTTCTTGGCGGCCCGCAGCTCCCTCATCAGGTTGCTCACCACCAGCTTCCCATCGAAGCGGCAGTACGGGCGAGCAGCGTCAACGGTCAATGACAGGCTCAGGAGCGCGAGGACAAGCAGAGAAAACGCGGAGACCGACTTCGCAGCCATGGCGTAAAGCAGCTAGATTGATGAAGACAAGGGCGAATTGAGTCGAGTGAAAATGTCGATAACTTGTGAACCAGTGACTCCAAGGGATAGATTAGCTTGAATGACTAAAATCTCCAAATTCCTGAACATTTGTACTCTACTGCACGCTCGTCGGATTAATTGACGAAGCATGTATGGAGCGGCTCGGCTACTGGACGATGAGCGACAAGCGAGCGACTCGGAAGGACAAGCCGCGAATCGCCTATTCGAGAAGGTATCAAAAGCGGCCGCAGTCAACCAGCCGCTTGTTTGCGTTGCGCTTGCGATGGAGTGGTACGGAAGCTGCCACTAGAATCTATCGGCTTGGTTCGGTTTGCAAGGGCCGCTAGGCCGCTTCCTTTCCACCAATCCTCGCCTCAGAAAGTGCTCACCGAAGCCATAGCGAGGGAAGGGCGAAATGGGTTGGGTACTGTTCTACGGTACAGAGCGTTGAAAACGCAGAAGGTCTGTAGCCAGTGTTTCAACTAGTCTACTAGCACTAAAGTAGTAATTGTAGATAATAAGCATTGTCTTTGCCTCTTCCTGTACACCCTGTACAGTTCTGTTCGTACATCTCAGGACTGACCCCCAACATCAGCACTAGGACCATAAATCTCTATATACCACTCACCTGTTTCTGCTTAATTTCTGGGATTCCTGTTCCTCACCGCAACCAAGCGATTTCTTCTTGCTGCATATTCTACAATCGTGGATGTAAACAAAGCGATAAGTATAATGCCTAGATAAGCCAACCACTTGAAGGATTCATCAGTCTCTATCTCAATATACACTTAGATGGCTAATCATGTGGCTTGCTAAACGCGTGGCTTAGCTCGCTACACACATGGCCTGCTCCTCTAAACCACGCGGCAACACACAGGGCTACAAGCACAGCAGCACCCATCAGTGACGCAAGACACCACCTGATATCCCAGCAGCGCGTCACTGTATCAGGCGTGCGCATCAGCTCAGCAGGGCATCAGCTCCCTATCGTAGCGGTATCACTACATCTGATACCCCAGCAGCGCATCAGCCGCCCCCTCAGAGCAGCAAATAGCAGCAAATTCCGCCACCAGCACTTCAAACCGCTGGCGGGGCAGCGGGGGCTGCCTCAGCACCAACTCACAGAACAGCTGCATCTCCCCCTCCCCCACTGCCGCTGCAGCCACACGCATACGATACCGTAGCTCGCTGCACACACAATGACACCCATCAGCAGCACTACATCTGATAGCCCAACAGCGCATCAGCTGTCCCTTCAGAGCAGCAGAGGGCAGCGAAATCCGCCACCAGCGCTTCAAACCTCTGCCTTGGCAGCGGGGGCTGCCGCAGCACCAACTCACAGAAGAGCTGCATCTCCCCCTCCCCCACCGCCTCTGGCACGCCTCTCTGAAAGTCCGGTGAACGTAACGCGGTAACCAGCCAGTTGGGGAGGAGTGGGTGGAGGTCTGGGAGGAGGATGAGGTGGTGGAGAGCGGTGGCGATGGGTCTGAGTAGGTCTCTGGGGGCTTTTCCGGCGGCTGCTAGGAGGAGGGAGGAGATGACTGATTGGCCCTGGTGCTGCAGACTCGTTATAATCACGGGTTGAGCACTGGGGGGAATGGAGGTGTGAGGAGAGAGCGGAGAGGCGAGGGGGAGAGGGGAGGGGAGAGGGGAGAAGGGAGGGGAGAGGAGAGAGGGGAGGGGATTGGGGAGAGGGAGAGAGGAAGGGAGAGGGAAGGGGAGAGGGGAGAGGGGAGGGGAGACAACTGATTGGTCAAGACTCGCTATAATCACGGGTTGGGCACTGAGGGTGGATGGGATGAGCAAGGGGAGAGCACAAGCCAGGGGAGAGCAGAAGCAAGGGGAGAGCAGAAGCAAGGGGAGAGCAGAAGCAAGGGGAGAGCAGAAGCAAGGGGAGAGGAGGGGCGAAGGGAGAGGAGGGGCAAGGGGAGAGGAGGGGCAAAGGTAGAAGGGAGAGGGGAGGGGAGGGGAGGGGAGGGGAGGGGAGAGAGGGGGTAGGAGACTACTGGTTGGCCCTGGTTAAACAGACTCGATACAATCACGGAACGGGCACTGGGGGGGGGGGAGGGGCTGGCGAGGGGCGAGGGGAGACGCCAAGGGAGAGAGTGAGAAGGTGTGGGAGAGTGACGGTCTCACCTGATACAAGCAGGGGAGGAGAGCGCCTTCTTGCCCGGGAAGAGCAGGAAGCACAGCAGCGTGAGCGCTGAGTCTCTCTCCCCATGTGCTACTGTGGCTGCAGCGTGGGAGAGTGACGATGGTCTCACCTGATCCAAGCAGGGGAGGAGAGCGCCTTCTTGCCCGGGGAGAGCAGGAAGCAGAGCAGCGTGAGCGCTGAGTCTCTCTCCCCATGTGCTACTGTGGCTGCAGCGTGGGAGCGTGACGATGGTCTCACCTGATCCAAGCAGGGGAGGAGAGCGCCTTCTTGCCCGGGGAGAGCAGGAAGCAGAGCAGCGTGAGCGCTGACTTGGCGGAATCTCTCTCTCCGTGTGCTACTGTGGCTGCTGCCGCGTCCAGCAGCGCCCCCAGGAAGGGCGCCTGCAGCAGCAGGTGCGGCGCGAAGAGCAGATAGCGATAGGCCATGTCGAAGAGGGCTGATAGGACCTCTGGTCGATGGGGGAGGTGACCGCGCTGTGAGGGAGAGGAGCAGGAGGGGGTGGTGAGCAGGATAACAAAGAATGTTGGGTGGAGATAAAGGTGGGTTGAGAGGTGTTGAAAGGGCGCCTGCAACAGCAGGTGCAAGTGCAGGTGCAGGTGCAGACTCCTCCTCACATGCCGAACACAGAGACGGGAGACAGGCTCACCCGCACAGATGGAGCACGTCTGCAGGGAGGAGTGACAGAGAGACAGATGGCCAGCAGTAGCATTACCTCCAGCACCGTCAGAACCGCCAGCACTCGCAGCAGACACAGCAGCGGCAGCGGCACTGAGGTCAAGCACCAATGCCAGCACCTCTAACACGTCCAGGTGCTGGCGATGCTCGCATGCTGAACAGAGACGGGAGACAAGGCTCAGCTGCATGAGAGAGAATGCAGTGATGGAGCACGCCTGCAGTGCTGGTGCCCCACGAAAGCTTCATGCAGAGAAGGCGAAAGACAGGCTCACCTGAGACAGGCTCACCTGAGACAGGCTCACCTGAGACAGGCTCACCTGAGACAGGCTCACCTGAGACAGGCTCACCCGAGACAGGCTCACCTGAGACCTTCTCACCTGAATGAGCGAGAAGGCACTGATGGAGCAGGCCTGCAGTGCGGAGTGGCAGACAGACAGATCCCCAGCAGCACCCCCAGCAGACGCTGCAGAAGCACTGAGCTCCAGCACCAACGCCAGCACCTCCAATACTGCCGGGTGCTGGTGCTCCTCGAATGCGGTGACAAGCGGTGCGATGGACGGCAGGATGGGTGGAGAGGGGTGCTTGAGGCAGAGCAGGGAGTGGCGGAAGAGGTGGCAGAGGGCGGTGATGACTTGCGGGTGGGAGCGCCATCGGGGGGAGGAGAGGAGATCGGAGACCAACGGTGCTGCTGCTTCCACTACTGCTATGCACGGGTGCTGCTGCTGCTGCTGTTGGTGGTTCTGTGATTGTTGTTGTTCTGGTATGTGTGCCCCTCCGTTCCTCATCGCTTCATGCTGTTGTTGTTGTTGTTGCTGGGAGGGCGGCATGCGTCTCAAGGCGTCGTCAAACTCAAGGAAACGCACAGCGGCAGCCAGCAGCAGCAGCTGTGTAGACAGAGACTCTCCCACCCCCTCACCCCCACTCCCACCACTCCCAGCCGCACCAATTGCTCCACCAGTGCTACTCCTCCCACCACCATCACTGGTAGATCCAAACCGACTGGTCTCATTTGTCTGCATCTGTGCCAGCTGTGCCGCCAGCTGTATGTGTGGCGAGGTGAGGGTGAGAGCAAGAGGGGCCGCGGTGGCGGGGGGGAGGGAGGCGATAACCCGTGCCTGCCCCTCCATTAGGGCCTGCCGGATCTCTAGGTCTACCCAGTGAGGGGAGGCGAGATGGGAGGCGGGCGCGTGAGAGTGCGACGAGGGGAAGGAGAAGGAGGAGGAGGAGGAGGAGAAGGAGAAGGAGGAGGAGGAAAGGGTTGAGAATGAGGATTGGAGTGCGGCAGTGCCGCGGGGGCGAGAGGGTATGAGGGAGGTGGAGGGGAGGGCGGAGAGCGTGGCAGTCATGAGGTGTTGGAGGAGGGAGGGGGCGTTGAGACGCGGAGCACAGCGGGCGCACACGGCTCTGAACGCACCTGCTGCACTGCGCACCGCTTCTGGGACCTGATGGGGTGGGGGAAGATGAGAGAAGGAGAGGGACAGGGGAACGGCAGCGGAGGCTGGTAAAATCTTCAAGAGATTACTTTCAGGGCTTTAAGGAATCACCTGAAGGGCTTTTAAGAAATCACCTGCAGGGCTTTAAGGAGGTAGCTGATGACGCCCAGCAGGCAGTCGGGCTGGAGGTTGAGCCAGTCAGCGAAGGAGCCAATGAGGAGGCAACACGTGTCCACCAGCAGAGGGTGGGACGCCAGGAACCCCCCCGTCTCTGCGTCCCTGCTCACCCGCACCATCACCCCCCCCAACACCGCTGCCATGCGCTGCTCCCTCTCCCCATATGCCTCCAGGTTTAGTAACCGCTTCTTCACTGGTGGGGTAAAAGGGGTGGGCATGAAAGTGGGAGAGATTGGGGGTGCTTAGCTGTAGCGTGCAAGGCCATCACCCCCCCCAGCACTGCTGTCATGCGCTGCTCCCTCTCCCCATATGCCTCCAGGTTTAGTAACCTCTTCTTCACTGGTGGGGAGCCGTAGGGGGGTGCATTGAGGGAGAGAATTTGAGGGGGAAATTGGGGGGAGCATGGGGGTGGGAGAAGGGGGTTGTGAGGGGGTGAGAGGCCAGGAAGCCTCCTGCTGCTCACGCACACCATCACCCCCCCAGCACCGCTGCCATGCGCTGCTCCCTCTCCCCATATGCTTCGAGGTTTAGAAGCCGCTTCTTCACTGGGGGGGAATATTGGGAGGGCGATTGGTGGGCGCATGGGGGTGGAACATTGGGGTTCTTAGAGGGTGGAACGCCAGGAAGCATCCTGTCTCCGCGTCCCGGCTCAGCTTTTGAGTCGACTCAAAAGCAGTGGGGGCATGGGGGAGGGACATTGGGATTCTTAGAGGGTGGAACGCCACGCCAGGAAGCATTCTGTCTCCGCGTCCTGTCCCGTTTCACGCACACCATCACCTCCCCCTGCATCGCTGCCATGCGCTGCTCCCTCTCCCCATATGCCTCTAGGTTAAGTAGCCGCTTCTTCAATGGAGGGGTGTGTGGTTGGATGCATGGGAGTGCGACATGGGTAGATGTTTCCAGGAAGCTGCAAAAAAATCACCCACACCGGCACAGCTGTCATGCGATGCTCCCTCTTCCCGTATGCCTCCAGATTGAATAGCCACTGCTTCACTGGCAGGCGAGCAGCGTGAGGTGGCAGGCGAGCAGCGTGAGGTGGCAGGCGAGCAGCGTGAGGTGGCAGGCGAGCAGCGTGAGGTGGCAGGCGAGCAGCGTGAGGTGGCAGGCGAGCAGCGTGAGGTGGCAGGCGAGCAGCGTGAGGTGGCAGGCGAGCAGCGTGAGGTGGCAGGCGAGCAGCGTGAGGTGGCAGGCGAGCAGCGTGAGGTGGCAGGCGAGCAGCGTGAGGTGGCAGGCGAGCAGCGTGAGGTGGCAGGCGAGCAGCGTGAGGTGGCAGGCGAGCAGCGTGAGGTGGCAGGCGAGCAGCGTGAGGTGGCAGGCGAGCAGCGTGAGGTGGCAGGCGAGCAGCGTGAGGTGGCAGGCGAGCAGCCGTACCTGCTTGGGCAGCGGATCGCAGCATGAAGAGCGACGCCTCTGCTGCCTGCCATGTGCCCGCACCCTACATCATGGTGATGCATGGGATTGCATGGGATGGAATGGCATGGAATGGAATGGAATGGTGTGGTGTATGGAAAGAATCACCATACACGGCATGGGAAGTTTTCATAAAGCGACGCCTCTGCGACCTGCCATGTGCCCGCACTCGCTGGTGATGATTGTGATGCATGGGATGGCATGAGATGGCATGGATGGGATGGGATGGGATGGGATGGGATGGGATGGGATGGGATGGGATGGGATGGGATGGGATGGGATGGGATGGGATGGGATGGGATGGGATGAGATGGCATGGGATGGCATGGGATGGCATGAGATGGCATGGGATGGGATGGGATGGCATGGCATGGCATAGCATGGCATGGGATGGAATGGGATGGCATGGGATGGCATGGGATGGTGTGGTGATGGGATGACACGGCATGGTGTGGCATAAGGAAAGGTATATCATGGCATGGGGAAACCATAAACGTAAGTGAGCATATCAGATGTGGCCACACCCACGCCCACCTGCAGGGAGGTGCCCACACGACCCTCATACTCCACTCCACTGGCAGCAGCCCAAACCAAAGTGGTCAACACATTGCCATGTGTATGAACAAGTGGTTTGAGACGTCTCAAAACATTGCCATGTGTATGAAGAAGTGTTTTGAGACGTCTCAAAACATTGCCATGTGTATGAGGAAGTGTTTTGAGACGTCTCAAAACATTGCCATGTGTATGAAGAAGTGTTTTGAGACGTCTCAAAACATTGCCATGTGTATGAAGAAGTGTTTTGAGACGTCTCAAAACATTGCCACCGTGGCTGGTTACCCCTGTCTCCACTCTAGTCACGGCATCAGGTCCCTTGCTCTCACTCGCTCGCACCTGCAATGAGCTGCCCACAGCCACACGCATCTGCAGGGAGGACCCCACGCGGTGCATATACTCCACGGGCTGCAGCCCAAAGGGGGTAATGCAATGCCATCATGGTTGGTCACCCGTGTCTCGACTCATCACATCAACCAGTCCCCTGCTCTCGCTCGCACCTGCAGGGACGCCCCCCACACGGTCCCTGTACTCCAGTGGCAGGGACGCCCCCCACACAGTCCCTGTACTCCAGTGGCAGGGACGCCCCCCACACGGTCCCTGTACTCCAGTGGCAGGGACGCCCCCCACACGGTCCCTGTACTCCAGTGGCAGGGACGCCCCCCACACAGTCCCTGTACTCCAGTGGCAGGGACGCCCCCCACACAGTCCCTGTACTCCAGTGGCAGGGACGCCCCCCACACGGTCCCTGTACTCCAGTGGCAGGGACGCCCCCCACACGGTCCCTGTACTCCAGTGGCAGGGACGCCCCCCACACGGTCCCTGTACTCCAGTGGCAGGGACGCCCCCCACACGGTCCCTGTACTCCAGTGGCAGGGACGCCCCCCACACAGTCCCTGTACTCCAGTGGCAGGGACGCCCCCCACACAGTCCCTGTACTCCAGTGGCAGGGACGCCCCCCACACGGTCCCTGTACTCCAGTGGCAGGGACGCCCCCCACACGGTCCCTGTACTCCAGTGGCAGGGACGCCCCCCACACGGTCCCTGTACTCCAGTGGCAGGGACGCCCCCCACACGGTCCCTGTACTCCAGTGGCAGGGACGCCCCCCACACGGTCCCTGTACTCCAGTGGCAGCAGCCCTAAGTGGGTAGTGCAATGCCAGCATGCCTACCCGTGTCTCAAGTCAGGGTATCGGGGTCACGGTCCCTTGGTGCCCACACGCACCAGCAGGGACGCCCCCACGCGGTGCATGTACTCCAATGGCTGCAGCCCAACCCAAAGTACGTGCAAACAACGCACTCCCACCTGCAAGAAGCTCCCCCCACCCACCCACCTGCAGGGACGCCCCCACACGATCCATGTACTCCAGTGGCAGCAGCCCGAACGCCATGTGCAACCCGTCCGCTGCTAGCTGCCAGGTGAAAACAACAGAGACCAGGTGGGATGGCAGGAGAAATCAATCAACAACATTTGGACAAATGCAAGTGGCTGTACAGGCAGCTGCTCCTGAGATGGTAACATGGCAACATGGTAACATGGTGACATGGTAACATGGTACCATGGTAACATGGTAACATGGTGACATGGTAACATGGTAACATGGTAACATGGTGACATGGTAACATGGTAACATGGTGACATGGTAACATGGTGACATGGTAACATGGTAACATGGTAACATGGTGACATGGTAACATGATGACATGGTAACATGGTGACATGGTGACATGGTAAGCTCCGAAAGCAACCAGGCGACTTCTCGGTCAACTCGAGAAGTACCTCATGTGATGTGATGGGTATGGGTATGGGTAGGACTAATAGGGAGCAGCAGCCACCTTTTGGAGATAAGACACAAGTCTTGGGAGAAAGGGAAATGCAATGCAAGCACCTGTCTTGTAATATCACCCCATCCCTTTTGTTATACTCTAGTCGTCCCTGTTGGCACATCTTAGCATCTGTTGCAACCACCTGGCCTCTGTTGCAATCACCTGGTCTCTGTTGGAATCACCTGGTCTCTGTTGGAATCACCTGGTCTCTGTTGGAATCACCTGGCCTCTGTTGCAATCACCTGGCCTCCGTTGCAATCACCTGGCCACTGTTGGAATCACCTGGTCTCTGTTGCAATCACCTCTGTTGGAATCACCTGGCCTCTGTTGGAATCACCTGGCCTCCATTGCAATCACCTGGCCACTGTTGCAATCACCTGGTCCCTGAAGCGGTAGAAGGCATCAGCATCTTCCTGGTTGTCGGCCCACGATGTGAACGACGGCGGATAGGCTGCCTGCAGGGGCAGGCGGGAGAGAGAAGAGGGGGGACGGGAGTGAGGGAGGGAGTGAAACGGTGCTGTTCTGGGCTGATCTGGGCACCTGATGACACGATGTGAACGACGGCTGACAGGCCCCACTCTGCGAGGCTGAACGACAGGCTGAAAGAATCACTATCACCGCATTCGCACACTCCCCTCCCTTCCCCTCCCTTCCCCTTCCCTCCCTTCCCCCCCCTCCCCTCCCCTCCCCTCCCCTACCCTCCCCTCCCCTCCCCTCCCTTCCCGTCGCCTCCCCTCCCATGAGTGGTGACTAATCCATCTAACTAAGCACATGTGCTGCATACCTTTGTTGTCGTGACTCGTGAGTACTTCAGCCGGTCGCAGGAAGGGCACCCCTCGACTCGAAACGCATCGCTCCATTCATTCAGCGGAACATTGCTCGCAGGTGAGAAAGAACTCCACCACGCCAGCAGCAAGCACTCGCCTGCACCTCCTCTGCACCCACTTACTGCCATCCCCCTGGCTCACCTTGCTGCCATCCCCCTGGCTCACCTTGAGTCGAAGAAAAAGCCCCTCGGTACCCCTCACTCCTCTCGTTCACCCGCACTATATTCACCGCTGAGAACAACTCCACCACCGCGTCTGCACTCGCCTCCACCTCCTCCGGCACTCGCTCACACGCCATCCCCATGGCTCACACGCCATCCCCATGGCTCACACACCATCCCCATGGCTCACACGCCATCCCCATGGCTCACACGCCATCCCCATGGCTCACACGCCATCCCCATGGCTCACACGCCATCCCCATGGCTCACACGCCATCCCCATGGCTCACACGCCATCCCCATGGCTCACACGCCATCCCCATGGCTCACACGCCATCCCCATGGCTCACACGCCATCCCCATGGCTCACACGCCATCCCCATGGCTCACAGGCCATCCCCATGGCTCACACGCCATCCCCATGACTCACACGCCATCCCCATGGCTCACACGCCATCCCCATGGCTCACACGCCATCCCCATGGCTCACCTTGGTGGTCAACACTTCAGCCAGCCGTAAGAAGAGCGGTCCTCGGTACCCCTCACTCCTCTCGTTCACCGGCACTATATTCACCGCTGAGAAGAACTCCACCACCCCGTCTGCACTCGCCTCCACCTCCTCCGCGCTCTCCCCCTCGCCGCCCTCCCCACCCCCCCACGCTCCCCCGCCCCCTGCAGCGAACGCCAGCACGACCTCCCCCACAGCCATGCCCTCGGGCGCACGCGGGTCCGTGAGCGCCTCTGGGTGCTCCTCTGCTACCGCCACTGCCACGCTGCTCAGTGCCCTTTGCACCGCCCGCCTGGCCTCGTGCGACCATTGGCCTGACTGTGCCTGGGCCACGTCCCACGCGTCTAACAGGGCCTTCAAAACGGACGAGATGACAGGTGCTGATGCGTCTGGTGCTGAGGTGAGTGGAGGGAGTTGGGGAGAGAGGGAGGAGTGGGAGGGGGAAGTGGGGGCAGTGGACGGACGGAGGGATGGAGCCTCGAGTGCGGTGCACGCGGGTCCGTGAGCGCCTCTGGGTGCTCCTCTGCCACGGCCACTGCCACGGCGCTCAGTGCCCTCTGCACCGCCCGCCTGGCTTCATGCGTCCATTGGCCTGACTGTGCAGGCGCCACGTCCCACGCGTCTAGGAGGGCCTTTAGAACAGACGAGATGACGGGTGCTGATGCACCCGGTGCTGGGGGGGGAGAGCGGTAGAAAGGGAGGGAGGGAGTGGGGGAAGTGGGGGAAGTGGAGGAAGGGATGAAGCCTCGGGGGTGCACGGGTCCGTGAGCGCCTCTGGGTGCTCCTCTGCCACAGCCAGTGCCACGGCGCTCAGTGCCCTTTGCACCGCCCGCCTGGCCTCGTGCGACCATTGGCCTGACTGTGCCTGGGCCACGTCCCATGCGTCAAGGAGGGCCTTGAGTACAGAGGATATTACGGGTGCTGATGCATCTGCTGCTGAAGGGGGTAAGGGGGGAAGGAAGGGGAAGGAGGCATGTGAGCGCCTCTGGGTGCTCCTGTGCTACAGCTACTTCCACGGCGCTCAGGCCCCTTTGCACCGCCTGCCTGGCCTCGTGTGACCATTGGCCCGAGTGTGCCTGGGCCACGTCCCACGCGTCTAGGAGGGCCTTGAGTACAGAGGATATGACTGCCGCTGATGCGTCTGGTGCTGAGGGGAGGGGAAGGGGGGAGAGGAGGCGTGTGAGTGAGGGCGTCTGGATGCTCCACTGCCACGGCCTTTGCCACGCTGCAATGCCCGCCTGGCTTCAAAACTCCATGTGCCTGACCTGACTGACTGTGCCTGGGCCACGTCCCAGGCGTCAAGAAGGGCCTTGCTTGAGCACGGAGGATATCACGGGTGCTGATGCGTCTAGTGCAGCGGGGAGGGAGGAGGGGGGGAGGGAAGCATGAAAGGAATCTCTGGGTGTTTCTCTGCCATGGCCACTGCTGTGCTTCTGAGTCGACTCAAAAGTCATCTGATGCGTCTGGTGCAGCGGGAGGGGGGGGGGGGGGGGGGGGGGCGGGGGGAGGGAAGCATGGAAGGAATCTCTGGGTGTTTCTCTGCCATGGCCACTGCTGTGCTGCTCAGCCGCCTCTGCCCTACACGCCTGGCCTCGTGCGTCCATGTGCATATGCTGCTGGTGTGTGTAACTGTGAGGGCTTTCAGCACAGAGAAGACGACTGGTGCTGGGGGGTGGGATGGGGGGGAATGAGAGGAATCTCTGAGTGTGACTGTAAGCCTGTGAGTGTGCCTCATTCCAGGCGTCCAGGAGGGTCGTTAGCACCACGGCAGACATGAATGGTGCTCATGCGTCTGTCTGGTGCCGGGCCGGGGCCTGGGGGCGAATGCACATTTGGGGGAACGGGATGGAAAGGATGGGTAGAACGGAACGGAGGGATGAAAGAGAGGAGAGGCGTAAGGTTATGGGTGTTCCCTTGGCCTGGTGGCCCCAAGTGCTTGAGTGAAATTGGCCCTTATACCGTACATGCAACAAGTACTGAACCCACCGGGGGCGTCGGATTGGCTGACAAGAGAATAATCCACCCACCTTGTGACTCTGATTGGCTGACGAGCGCCACAAGAATATCAGCACTGGTGGCAGCGACAGGCGGGTGGGGCGATGCGAGCGAGCGGAGAATGAAGTGCCAGAGGAAGGGGAAGGCGGTGCTGAGCTGGCACGCTGTGACTGGCTGCTGGCCCACGGAGGCGAAGTCGAGGTGCAGCCAGGTGAGGAGCAGGCGGAGGAAGGCGGAGAGGAGGGGCGGGGGGTGCGGGGGGAAGGAGGGCGCGGAGAGGGAGGAGCTGTGGCGCTGCGTGTAGGTCTGGATGATTTGAAGCAGGTCCGGGAAGCGCGTCTGGAGGTGCGGGGAATGACGGATGGAGGAATGGATGGAGGGATGGAGGGATGGAGGGATGGGGGGACAAGGGTAGGGGAATGTGGCAGAGTGGGGAGAGCAGTGGTAAGGAAGGAGTCAGTTCCAGAGGCGCCTCAGAATCAGCAGTGCGGCGTGCACACAGGTCAGCCAGGACGCCATAGACGACGTAACCTTCACGACCAGCGCTGGCCAACGCTAGTCAACGCTAGTCAACGGTACTCAGTGAAATCCTCTAGTGCGCGCGTACCCGGATGAGCGCGAGGGTGATCTCTGTGTTCCGCCTGTCCAGCTGCTCCGCCTCTTCCGCCACCCCCTGCAGCACCGCCACCACCACCGCCAGCGCCTGGTCGCTTGCGCTTCCCCCTCCCCCGCCCCCGCCCCCCAACCCTTGTGGCCCAGCCCCCCCCTCGCTCTTCTCCGCCACGTCAGCGGCGCGGAGCACGACGTCCAATAGCGTGCTGGCATTCAGCGCGTGCTGATTGGCCGACCGCAGCGCGACCGCCGCCACGACGAGGCAGACGCGAGAGAGAACGACAGGTGGCACGCTGCTATTAGTCATGTAGGACGCGACGAGGCGCAGCAGATGCGCGCCGAGCTCCGCGCGCAAATCTGGGGGGAGAGCAGAGAGATCGGAACGCGCTTTCGAAAGCAGGAGATTGGCGCAGAAGTAACGGACTTCCATTGACTGCGCTGACTCGACGAGACTCGCGGCGACGCCCCATGCGGCGGGAGTTGCGGCGAAGGAGGTGAGCCATGCGTTGGCCTGCGACTTGCGATCCGGGGAGGGATCGGTGTAGAGAATGGACACGGCCTCGACCACTTGTGAGGCGTCCATTGCTGAACGTTCCTAACTACGTGCAGGCCGCCGAATCGCGGACCGCCTTTATCTGAGGTGCTGGAGGAAAAACGCGAGAGAGAGCGAGCTATGGGCTGGAGGAAAGGAGGATCCAGCAATAGATCCGTTAGTTGCAGCCCCGCAACCTGCAGGATGGGAGTTAAATATGCTCTCCACCTTCTGCAATTATTAACTGCTACATGTTTTATCATCACAGATGTGTGATGACAACCGTGAAAGCCTTTGTTGTGATAAAAAAGGTGATCGACCCTACGATCTCCTCAGGAAGGTTCGCACACAACTGAGTGGTGGGCCCTTGACCTCAATAGCAGAGTGAATGTAAAATGTTTGAGATAATAAAAACAAGCAAATACTGGAAGTAAAAATATGAGTACAAAGGAATTCGAATCGTCCTAACTAGCCATGTACTCTAAGGGGTACATTCCCTTATTCAAATTCATCCCCAACCGTGCGGAGCGTACAGTTACGAAACTGTTCCCGCCAAATTCCTCTTGCCTGTAGCTGCCCGATGCTGTTTGCTTCGACAATCCAGATCCACCCCAACCGTCTGTGTCGCTTCGAGTCAACTCTGACTCTTCGCATTCGTTCTCGATACTGCATGCTTCCCTTAGCCGCGGTTAAGAGTGCACAGTAATGTTTCATTCATTACTATTCGTAACACCCCCCTTCACTCCTGGCCGTAGCTCGGCTTGACCTGCTTGACCACTCCGCTGAGTTCGGAACAGTGCTGGTACTGCTGTCGTGGCGGTCGCTTCGTCACGAAGTCAGCTGCCATGTCACCTGTTGGGCAGTAGGTCAGATCCACCTTGCCTTTGTCCACTTCATCCTTGACGAAGAAATATTGCAGCGCAATGTGTTTGGTGCGATTGACGAAACCGGGCTTGTTGGCGATGCGGATCGCGCTTTGATTGTCGCAGTGTAGGCGAAAGGTGGGCGAGACTGGAATTTTTGCCTCCTGCAGAAGTTCTTGCAGGTAGAGACCTTCGCGAACTGCTGCTGTGGCTGCGATGAATTCCGCTTCCAGCTCCTGCTTCTGCGAGTTCCATGAAATTGGTCCCGTCGGCTCGAGGCAGAACAGGAAGCCAGTCCTGGACCATCGATGGTCGGGGTCCGCTGCGTGATCGGCGTCCACGTAGCCAATGAGGTTGAAGGATGGGGTTGGCACTGTTGAGTAGCAAAGTCCGATCTTGGGCGTTGAAATGAAAAACTGTAGGGCGCGCTGCAAGTCCAGAAGATTCTCAGCCGTTGGTTTGTGGGAGTACTGAGCCAGCTGGCTCGCGATGTAGGAAAGGTCGGGCCTGCAGGTAACAGAGGCAAAGAGCAGGCATCCCAACTGCTGCTGATAAGTCCGGATGCCAGCAGGAGATAGGGCTTTGTTGTCAGGTTTGTGGTTTGGTCCGGGGGTTCGGTAAGGAGTGGAGAGTGGTGCAGGTGAAATGTTGAAGTGTTTTCCAAGCTCTTCTGCGTACTTAGATGCTGAGAGGTGGATAGCATCTGGCGCGTAGGAGATATTGAGTCCTAGGAACTGCTTCACCTCGTGGTTGCAAGTAATATCGACGCGCCTCGCCAGGCTCTTCTCGAACTGCTCCAGTAGTTTATTGCTCGGTCCTGTGTAAAGTAGGTCATCAACGTAGACCGTAAGTAAAACGTATTCGCCGCGGAAATCACGGCGGTACATCCCTGGGTCGTGAGGCAGCTGCTTGAACCCAATTTCAAGCAGGATGTTGTGTAGGTACTGCTGCCAGGGTCTTGGTGCTTGCTTGATCTTGTAATGGGACTTGCGCAGCTGGCAGACGCGCGAATCCCCCTCACCATAGGTGTGCGGCTGCTCCACGTAGATCACAGCATCTACTAACGCGTACAAGAACGCGTTCTTCAGGTCGATCTGGCAGAGAGGCAGGCATCTTGCGGATGCAATGGCGAGCAGGATTCGCACTGAAGTGTGACAACTGACCGGCGCAAATGTCTGATCGAAATCGATGCCATGCCTCTGGTCGTAGCCGCGCACCACCCTGCGCGCTTTGAAGCGTTCGATTGTTCCATCCGCTGCAGTCTTCACTCGAAAGACCCATTTGCCTAAGAGAACTCTTGCACCCTTGATTGCTGCGCGGTCGACCAGCACTTAGGTATCTCGGGATTCGAGTGCCTTGATCTCTGCGTCCATTGCTTCGCGCCACTCCTTGCTGTGCGGTCCAGTGATGGCTTGGCGAGGATTTTGAGGTTCGACGACACGTGGCACCTTTGAGGTTGCAGTGTGGAGCCCGAGCAGCTACAGCCCAGAGACGGTGCTGTCATGGTGATGTTGCGGGACGACTTCCTGCACGTCGTCGTCATCGCTCTCAGGCTTAGGTGGCGCTGGTGCCGCCGTGCCTCTGCCGCTTCCTCCCGTTCTGCCCATTCCTCCTCCAGGGGAATTGTCGCCGTTGTCATCGTCGCTGCTGTAGCGATCTCCCCTCGTAAATTCGCCCCTAGTGTCCTGCTCTAGGATTACTGCAGCGGCTTCGTCCTCGGGTGTTGCGTAGTTGTGCCCGTCGTTTGCGTAAACGCGGTTCGCATTTGTCTGCTCGTCGTGGCAGAACTGCTCGAGAAAGAGCCATTTGTAGAAGATGACGTCGCGGGCGTGGGTGGTCTTCTGGCCGAGTAGGTCCAGCATGATCCACGCCTTGTGCTCGTGGCTGATGCCGAGGTGAATGCCCCATCGCGCGCGGCTAGCAAATTTGCCGATGGTTGATTTCGGTGGGCGGTACTGCACCATGCACCCCCACACGCGGAGCATTGACGTGTCGCCCTTGGTTCCGGTCCATCTCACATGAGGGGATAGGTTGCCGGTGATGGCGGTGCTTGACAGCATGTTGTGCACCCGCACGGCGTGGTGCATCGTGTAGGTCTAGTAGATCGGTGGTAGCTTCGATTGCTTCATCAGCGCTCGCACCTTCGTCATAAGCGTGCGGTTTGTTCGTTCTGCCACGCCATGCTGCTGGTGCGCGCAAGGGAGAGAGATGTGATGCTGGATCCCCTTTTGCCCTAGGTAGTCCTGCATCTCCTTACTCCTGAACTCTGCTGCGCCGTCAGATTGCCAGATTTTTAGCTTTTCCCCAGACTGCCGCTGCGCGTGCACCAGCCAGAGTCGAAATACTTCGTATGCTCTGCTGCGCGATTCCACGTTTACAACCCACACGTAACGCGTTCTAGCATCGATGAAGGTAAGTGTGTACATTTCGTCGTCGACTCCGCGGTACCCCACGTTCAGGAAGTCACTGTACACCTTGTGTAGCTTGGGGTAGTGGTTCGTCCCTGGCTCGAGTAGCGGGAAAGGTTGGAGGCTTAGCGCGACTTCGAGGCAGACGGTGTAGTTGCGCGGGTGTGTTGCGCCTCTCACTTTAGTGCCGTCTGGGAGCAGGAGCGCCCCATGAGCGAAGACTCCCGCATCGATGCAATTTTTCAGCGTCGCGCGTGAAGGGTGTCCGAGGCGCTGGTGCCAGAGTGCATCATCAGGGCGAAAACTGGAGGTGCGCATATAGCGCGCGCAAGCTTCTTCGGGGTCTTCATCAGGTAAGGGGGTAGGCTCTGCTGATGCTTCTTTTGCTGCTTCGTCATTGGCGGTAGTTAACATTAGCGCCAAGAACTCTCTGTTGCGAATTTCAGAGAGGAGAATGTTGGTCCCAGGGATGGTTCCGGGGACGAAGGTAGGTTCACGCGGCTCGGGAGCAGGTCCATAAACAGTGCGACGCGGAGTCGACGGCTCGTTGCCCCAGTCGAAGGTGTCCCAGGGGTCGCGATGCGGCTGTATTTCAGGTGGAGGTGGTGCGGGCAGTGCGTGTCGTGGGGGGCTACCAAGGGGAACAACTGCGGGTTGCGCCTCAGCTACTTCTCCCCCCCTTTGTTCGTTGCGGGAAGCACCCCAGCCGCTGCCTTCGTCGCCAGTTGCGACGCCCCATCCGTCGCTTGCGGTTGCCCAGGTGCCGCCGGCATTGCCCCCGCCACCAGTATCACTCGTTCCCCATCCGCCAACGCTTTCCCACCCCCCTTCATTGGAGGCGCTCTCCTCTTCTTTGGCTCCCCATTCGACACATGCAAAGGTGCCGTGTGCCTCGATGAGGCTTTGTCGGCGAAGCTCCTCTGCTTTGCGTCGCGCTAGGTCCTCTTCTTGCTCCACGGTAAGCTTCTTCGTGGGGGGTAGATCTTCAGGATCTCTTCACGTGTGTAAGGGCGCGCGACTCTGCGCACATTGAAGGTTCCGCGGCGTTGTCCGCGCAGAAGGTCTTCGAGTCGCTGAGAGGGAGGTCCGGCGTGAGGGCTTTGATCGATGCCGAAAACGCGTTGCGTGGTGATTTCCAACTCTAGCTCGGACATGCCTTCTTCTGGAGGTGCATGTCGCTCTGCTTCGGCGATGGCAGCAAGCCCACGGCCAACGATGGCACTGGTTGATGCTGTCGGCGTGTGGCGGTCCCTGCAGATGCCGTCTGGATCAGGGTCGTGCAGCGCCAGTTCACGTGGGTGGGGATGATGCGGCACCCACGGTCTTTCGTCAGGGTGCTTCCAATTCCTGCGGTGGATGTGTTCGAAGCGCAGTGGAACGAGATCAATTAACTCGTTCGAGTCGCCGCTGCAGTCGGGAATGTCGAAATCCAAGATGTACACTCCATTTTCGAAGTGCGCTCTTCCGATCTGCCTGCGGGGGAAGGTCTTCGATTCGTAGTGCAGCAGGATGTCGCGAGTCTCGCGGTCCGTGCTGAGGTCAACGCCGCAATTTATGAGTTGGGCGGCGGAAAGCAGGTTGAAGTGTAGGTTCTGGACGATGAGCACATCGTTGAGTGTGATGTGCGTGCAGCTCCCCCTTGCCTTGAGCACGACGATGCCCTGCGCACTCGCGCGCAGGCGCGTGTTGTTGGCCATTGTGACGTAGGTGAACGTGGGCGTGGCGACGGCGTTGGATATGTAACGCTCGGAGCCCACCATGTGCTGGCCGCAGCAGCTGT